AAAGAGCTTTGTCAAAGATCCTGTTCATCAGTGGTTCTCAATCTCTAGCAAAGATCAGAAGCTCTGGAGAGCTTGTTCAAACTTTGCTCAGCTCTCTACCTCAGAGTTTCTGAAGGGCGGGGGGGGGGGGGGAAGGAGGTTGGGAGGACCTAAGGATTTGCTTGTCTCACAAGTTCTCAGATGCTGCTGACCTGCGGTCAGCAGAACGACTTTGCTCCTCCAAACTCTACCTGCATGTTATAATCACAGAGGATGTTTTTCAATACCTAGGCTTGGACCCTAGGGGATCTTATTTAAATAGTCTGGTGGGGGACCTGAGCACCTCATAATCCTAATGCAGCCAAATCAGGAATATCTATTCTCCTTACATGAACTCTCTCCCTCCTGTGTACCCTGGGACCAGCAAGAAGGGCTTCTCAGGGGTTCTGTAGAAACTCAGACCTCACCCCAGAACTGTGGAGTCAGAATCTGCACTTTAACAAGACCCACAGTGATTCCCATGTACATTAAAGTCTGAGGAACATTGCTTAGGTTTCAGCATAAATGGAACTTCCTCAGTAAGGGCTTCTTCAAGTGCCTTTGCCAGGGTGGATCTCCAGAGCTCCCAGGTGGGAGAAAGAGCACCACTCATCTCTTCCCATTAGCCAAACTGGTAGCCAAACATTTTGCAAAACATGAAGTAAAGAAATAAAGGCTTCCATTGGCATTGACTGCCCCTGGAGTAAGTGTAGAAGCAATTTTTTTTCTTGAATTTTTGTAAGAGTTTTTTTGAGCCAAACTGATGACATATGCCAGGGAGCGCGATCTCAAATGCCCTAGAGAATAAGTTTTGCAGCTTCTTCTGTGCATTTGCAATTAAGGAGGGGAGTAAAGAAGATTACGTGGAGGTGGGGAAAAGGCAGATTGGATTACAGGTTCGTTAACAAGATTATGTACTTTCCTGAGGGAGGTTATTTCAAAGGTGTGTTAATTTAGGGAGGTCAACAAAGGTGTGCACAGAAACAATGGACAGGACTTGTTCAAGGCAAAGATACACCTTTTACAAAAAATTATATTCCTGGAGCATGACTACCCACCATGACTTGCCCAATTAGGAATTTATTGCTCCTTACATAGAATCTTCCCGCACCCTTTTTTTGGGTCCACAGTCCCTCCTTTTGGTAACAATCAATCCAGATGAGGCACTGATGACCAACCTTTTGGTTGAATAGTGTGGTCTCACAGTGTTCCTAGGCTCATTCCTAGAAAGTCTCCATATCGATGTCATCTTGTTGATCATTAGGGATGGGGTAATGAGGTAACCATGGAATCTGAGTTGAGGTAGTATTTTATCCAAACAGAAAAGGCAGGAAAAGGAAATCAGTCAGGTCTTATGGCCATAGGAACAAAAATTTTAAATGGTCATAAGTGAGCATTCATGTGCCAACAGTGTAGAACCCACAGCAGTGACTTTCCAGCACCTTGGAGAGGAAGACCCCAGGCCAGGACAGACCTCCCTTACTTACACTTCATCTAGTCCTGGACAGAGGTTGTCACCCGTACTTACAGGTGTGGTGTACACTTACTACTGCATGCAGAGTTACACAGTTTGTATTCCAACATGGGGACTCAGCCATTCACCCCGCCAGACATTGTAAAGTACCTCATCTAAAAGGGTTCTAATTATATAATGAGATCAAGATTCGGACCTCAGAGCACAAAAGTCAAACAAGATCATGTTGGCAAAATTTTAAAGATTAGGAATATCAAGTATTGCCAAGAGTGAAAGTGTCAACTGATGTAGGGTTTTTGGAAAGCAATTTGGGAAAGTCCCTCAAGATTTTAAATATGCATATGCTATATGATCCATACTCCCACAACTAGAAATGTAGCCTATAAAAATATTAGCCTATAAAGACACACACATATATGAATATACTTCACAGCATTATTTCTACTTTTAAGAAATGGAAATAAACTATAGGTCTATTAAGAAAAAATGGATAAATTCTTATAATGCAGGGTTTTCTGCTCATCTTTGTAAATGATGGGAACTCTGTATGTTCACGCATGATAAGGTTGTGAATATGTTGTATGTGTGTATGTGTAGTATATGTCCATTTCTATTTTTAAAATTATATACATACATATATATGAAAATACATCCACTAATCTGTAAACAATGATTGCTTTCAGGAAGTGAGACTAGAATTGGGGAAGTGTATTTCACTTTTTCTGTATACCCATGTACAATTTTTGAATTTGTTATAATAAGCTTGTGTAATTTTTTTCTGTGTCATTCCAATTTTAGTGTATGTGCTGCTGAAGCAAGCACAAGCATGTATAATTTTTACTATTTAAAATACATTTCAAACAGGTAGAAGTGATTTCTTAAGAACTGTTTTTCTCTGGATGTGTTTCCTCACATTAGCCCATTTAGTTATATATTTCAGGCTACTCATTAGACACAGTACAATATACTTAAATTGATTAAATTTGGACTGTATTAGAGAAAGCCTAATCCAGCCTGGACTCTTTGAGATTAATCCAAGTAAACTGACTTTTGGGTGCTCCAAAGTGGTCTTAATTTCAATTTAGTACCAGATCCTTAAAACCATATTTGTGGTTTTTAGCTGCTGTCATTTAATATTGCCTCTTATGAAATATGTGGTTAACCAAACCCCAGAATTATTTTTAAAAAATTGCTTCTAAATCAGGTCACCCCAATTCTGTACTTAAATTTTTTTTAAATGTAAAGGTAGATGTTTTTATTTAGTTCTGTTAAATTTCATCTTGTAGGTTTTAAAGATTTTATTTATTTATATTTAGAGAGAGGGGAGGGAGGGAGAAAGAGAAGAAAAGAAATATCAAACTTTGCACACCCCCAGCTGGGGACCTGGCCCCCAACCCAGGCATGTTCCCTGACCGGGGATCGAATCAGCAACCTTTCAGTTGATAGGCTAACGCTCAATCCACTGAGCCACACTACTCAAGGCTCATCTTGTAGGTTTTATTACGTATAATATGTTAACATAATTACTGACTATTACATAATTTTGTATCTTGCTTTGTAGTGCACTAGGTATTCCTCTAAATTTTGCATTATTTTAAACATGTATATTTAATCACTGTAGAGGTTATAAAATATACAGACTTGTCTTTTAGACAGTACTCTTTTTAGCTGAATATGGCCAAAATCTACTTAAACTTAAGCAAAAATGAAATTTATCAGAGAGTGAGGTATCTCATTGAGCGCAGGACAGGAGTGACCCTAGGCCTGAGAGAGACAGGCAGGAAATGAGAAACTAGCAATCCAGGGCAACACTCTTTCCCTCCCTTGTCTCTACCTGTCTTTCTCAATTCCATTCCATTGTCTCAGTTCTATTATGTGCACTGGCCCTTACCCGCATGTGCACATAACCAGAGACACACCAAGTGTTGGCCCAGGTAAGAGTACCTGCTCTCTTCCCCCAGCTAAAATGTTTTACTCTGGATCTGCATGCAGGCCTCAGGTCCCTTTCAGACCAACAGTTCATTTATTTCCACTGGTTTGCCTTCAATGTCACCCACATTGGCCCTGACTGCCACCCCAGATCATTCAGGGTTAATACCTTTCCCATGGCCCCAGACCAGAGCCCAATTTCTGTTATCAGGATGCAGCAGTTTGTGTTGGGTGTCCACCATGATTCAATCAAATGTGGCCAAGAGGACAAATTCAGGTAGAACAAACACGGCTTCCCAGAGCCGTCCTCTGTCGTTGGGTGCAACTCTCAGAGACATGGGTATAATACTGACAACTAGTTGATGAGTAAATGCCCCAAGTTTACCTACTATAGAAATGTCAATGGACACCAAGTCCAAGTCCAAGTTTATGGCTCAAGTTCTCCCAGGCTCAAAGTAAGGAGAATAGCTATGGAGGTAAAGAATGGAGTATAATTTAGTGGTTAAGTACATTGCCTTTGGAAACAAGTTAGGGATTAAATACTATTTCTGCCATGAACTAGGTATTTTAATCTTGGGCAAGTTACTCAACCTTTTTGTGTGTTAGTTTTCTTACCTATAAAATGGCAAAAAGAAGAAGAAGAAGAAGAAGAAGAAGAAGAAAGTCTTATTGGGTAATTGTAGACATTAAATGAAATTAACATAGAGGCTTTCTAGCTTTTAGCAAGCATTTCAGAAATGCCAACTCTCATTTTTAGTATTATATCATCATCATTATCAATATGAAGTAAATGTGTGACGGTATAATGGAAGGCAGTGCATTTGACATAATACACTCATGTTTCAACCCTACCTTATTTTTGTGTATAGTATACACAACACACAGGGTAAAATACAACCATCCTGTAACTGGGCCCCTTGGGTGTCAGGACACTGCTCGTTCCCTCAGGCTGCAAGCACCTGAAGGGGTTGTACAAGGAAATGCGAAGCACACAGCTCTCTAGAAATGTCAGCCTTGTCATGCACTGGCATAAGACGAAAATGCTGTGGAGAAACAGACTTTCTGTTTAAAATAGAAATTGTGAAGGAAGCCAAATTAATACATGACAAGTTATTGAATATCCAGTTCTTCTAGAGAGGGGAAAAAAGAAATGAAAAGGGGAATTGCTGTTACCAAAAATCATGTTTCCTTTTCGGTAAAATTCTCCCTCCAAGCCTGGTGCTAACTGAGTAGGCGATTTCACTTCATCACTTCACAAAAGACTTCCAAATTCGCTGCGGCAGACATGGCAAAATAAAAAATGTTAAATACATCCTGACTGGGAGGGGACTGAAGCCTCCATGCTCAATCAAAGGTTTGCAATAATAGGATTCATAAAAAAAAAAAAAAAAAAAAAAGACAGATGGGATTAGAAAATGTTGCAGTGAAGGCTCTGGAATGAGATGAGCTCACAGCACCAGCCTGTCTTTTGTGGACCTGCACAATGATCTCCGAGCCAGACTGGATTAGGAAACCTTGCGACTAGGGGTTCAGAGAGAGGCCTCCGGTTCCCAAGCACTTTAGGGGAGAGAAGACTGAAATGATGCATCAGATTTACAGCTGCAGCGATGAAAATATAGAAGTTTTCACCACTGTGATTCCTTCCAAGGGTGAGTAAATAGTCCTTGACTGTTTCCTTAACGTGGTACCTTATGCTGGAGGGTGAGGACAGTCACGTGCTGTTTTACTACGGTTTTCCCTCAGGTCTCTGAGCTCTGACCGCTTCTCTGTCTTGATGATATTTTTTGTTGTTGTTTCTGAAAAGGAGGCACATTGATAAATATCAGTCACTGAGATACAATCAATCAAGGGGGAAATAAGGGCAATTAAATATTCCTGTTTCACTTAATACTGTAACCCAATATGCTAAATGAAAGTGACAGCAAGCCATTGTTGGAGGAAATAGATGAAAACAAAATTCCCTGGACAACTAGATGAAAACATCTTCTCCAGTGAGCAAGCAGGTTCTGAAATGAGAACAAGCTGCCTCAAAAGTCTGATTTCTAACTGTGCAGTGAAATATGAGGAGAAATACTCCCTGCAGTGACCCAAAGTCCAATAAAGTGGTCAAATAATGCTCTAGCCCAGGCTGGCCTTCACCCAGGCCCCAGGGGCACGCTCCCACACTTAACCTGGAACTAGTGCCACCAAAAAGTGTGACTTTGCCCACCCTTGTGTATGAGGCAGATGGTGTCAAGTCCAGGGGAGGGCTTTAGGTGCAAGCTCAGAGGACTGCAGGTCTCTCATGACCAGACAGCTTCCTCGCCCACTACAAAGTTCAGCCCTCTGTCCTGGGGCCTCTGCTCTTTCTGTCCCTGTAATCTCTGTAGTGCTGGGTGAGTCCAGACTCCAGCTTAACCCCGGTCTCATTGTCAGACTTGAATGTAGTGGGCTGGGTGTCTGCTGGTGCTGTGAGCCTCTATTCAAACAATTCCTTTCTTCTTCCCCTGTCAGCCAACGACAAGGCCATGGCTGGAGGGGGTGGGGGGGTGAGGGAGAGACTCAGCCTGGTCACAGTGAGACAGCCTGCAGAACATCAACTCAGCTTTAGACCTGTACTGCCTGGTAGCCAGAGAGAAAAACGAGCTAGGAGTCTGCCCCTGTGTGGGAGTGTGAACTCTTGCTGGAGACTCTGAAATGTACCTAGAAAGTCAAGGCAGTCATGACCTTCTGACCCAGCTGTTCTGCTTCTCTCTTAGACGTGGATGCTCACAGTGGCACTAATCACCATGATAGCAAACGTGAAAAGAACCTAAGTGTCCCCGAAAAGGGGGAAGGGGAAAATGTGGTGTCATCATACTATGGAATACTCCACAGTAGTCACCAGCGATGGGCTCGATCTACATGTATGGACATAGACCTCCAAACATAATGTTGAGTGAGAAAAAAACAGACTGAAAAAATACATATGTGTGATAATAATAATTAAGTCTGGAAATACAAAACAATACTGCATATTGTTTATGGATACATATTTTGAGAAAAGTATGAAAATATAGTCTGGAAAGATATAGATAAAATTGGTGATCTTAGTAGTCCTGGGCAGGGAGGGATATACACTTAGGGAAGACAAAGAGGGGACCTAAATTTGCCCTCTAATTTTTCATTCCTTTTTATATGAGTAGGAAACAAATTAGAAGCAAATATAAAAATATTAAAATATGTCTATTTTCTAAACTTTTTTCCATTTAAAAAATTTTAAGGGAGGAAAAAATCAAAGCCAAATGGCTTTTTTTAATTAAAAAATTATTATGCGGTTCAGGAGAAATGTCACACTTCACCTGAATAAAATTGTTCCAAACAAGGCCTTTGACTCCATGTGCTTAACATAGTGGTGAAGAGGCTGCCTCCTCTTCTGCACTGAGTGACCTTGGAAAGGCTACTTAATCTCTCTGGGCCTGAGTTTTCACTTTTGTAAAAGGGGAAACTAGAACTCACCTCCCAGCGTTATTATGAGGGAAAAATGAAATACAGACAAAATATGTAAAGCATCTAGAAGAACAACCTGGCATGTAATAAGCACCATTAAATACATCACTTAGTGATTTCTATTTTTATTCCATATTTATAACAATGAATATGTTTGGTCAAAGATAAATATTTAATCCATATCCCTTTCCTGCCATTTTTATTCACGGCCATCTCATGGTATTAAGCCAAGTGATCATTGCTATTCATGCACATTTCACTGCTCAGGAAGTTTTTCTCTAGGAAAAGAATATTTGTAGTTTATATTAGGCCAGAAATGGAAGAAGCCTGTCTCATCTTTTTGTTTTGCTCCATCTTCCTTCTCCAAAAGTCATCGGGCAGAGACCCCTCAATGAGGGAAGACAGTGCCAACTTGTCTCACGTCACCACTTGTGAGGGAGATTGGAAACTAACACCTGCTCACATTTCCTAACTGCAAAAATATAGGTTGGTTTGATTTTATCTAACAAGGGTTATAGTCCTCCCTGATATGTCCTTTCTCAAATGCTACTCTTCAGCCATGTTTGTTCAATGGGTAATGAGCAGAACGTTTTCAGAGCACAAGTGCAGTCACATGGGCAGTGTGGTCTACTGGTTAGGAGCATAGGCTTTGTTCCATCACTGATTGTGTAACCCCTGTATCCCCGTCTATAAAATGAAGAGTATTTACCTCACAGAGTTGCTGGGAGGCATGACTGAGATAAGCAAATAAGCCACCCACATAGTAAAGCTTAGTGGGAAGCATTTATGTATTGTTGTTTCATATCCCTCTTTCCAACATACATGTATTGGGTTCAACCTAATAGCTATACATTTTTTTAGCTGAGCCATCTTAATATCTCACAAAAATATAGCCATAGCAAATGTTATGGTGTTCCTTAAGTATTTTAAAGGCACAAGACATAGATCAAGTCTGTAACTGAGGACAAGTGTGTATCTTTACTTTCTAGAGAAAGAGAAACCTAAGGGAAAGATTTCACAGACACAATTTATGGTAAATACAAAAGATAAAAACTGTGGTTTTACCAAGAAGTTATACCAGAAGCTATTTCCTGAGACACACCAGAGTGGGTTTAATTCTGGGGTGAATAGTACCACAGTGTTCAAAACAACCTACTTGGGGATGAACAAAGAATGGAGAGGAGTTAGTGAGGGGAAAGAGAAAATGAAGAAAACTCCCAAAAGGGAAATTCGAATGGAATGCTACAGTCTCTAGAATTACCGCTTATTCCTCCCACCATTCCTCATCTTGCAGAGAAAGAGGAAAATCATAATAAACACTATTAATGCCTGGGAGCTTACTCTTCACCAGGTGGTAGGCCAATGGCTTTATACAAATTAGTTCATTGAATCCGTACCACAACCCGCTGAGGCAACTGCTATTATTACCCCTAACTTATAGATGAGGAAGGTGAAGCTTAGAGAAGATGAGTAATTTGCCCAAGTTATACAACTGGCAAGTGGTCAAGTTCAGACTCACGCCCAAGTGAAAGGAGTGGGGAGCCCAGCTGTTAACCTGCACACTGGCCGATTGGTATCATGGCTGCAGGTGCTCTGAGGAAGATAGCAGCACAGCACTCACTTGATCATGTGTCTGACAGGTGACAAGGATTCATTTCCATATTAGGCAGGACAGTGACACGGTGGGATTTCAGTTCCAAGTAAATCATTCTAACAGCAGCGTGGAAGAGTGCCTGGGTGTCTCCATTTTCAACAAAATGCACACATTTCCCAACCAAGTAATTTTTTAGAGTTAATTGATTTGTAAGTTTTTTATGTGTGCGGTAAAATATGCATAATAAAGAATTTATCATTTAACCATTTTTAGTATACAGTATACAGTTCTGTAGCGTTAAGAAAATAGACATTGTAGTGCAACTATCACCGCTATCTATTTCCAGAACCTTTTCATCTTTCCTGACAGAAACTCTGCGCCCACCAAACCAGTGATTTTCAACTTTTTTTCATCTTATAACACACATAAACTAATTACTAGAATTCTGCAGCACACCAAAAGGTATATTTTTTGCCAACCTGTTAAAAATACATATAATTTTGATTGATTTACCTACCCTATTTGATCCAAGGTGACTTTTTAGAAATCAGGTGCTTATACTTTTATATAAGGATTTTTGGTACCAAAATCTAACCAATCAGATGCAACCTTATTACACGATATCTAATAAGATGTAACTCTCTATGTGACCTATATATTTATGGTTCAAAACAGGGCATTCACACTGGATGGCTATTGTTGTGTTGGCTGTTGTCAGTGACCCTGGCTAAATAGGCAGGTGCTTCATGTTTTAAAAATTCTTGCAGCACACTGGTTGAAAATCTCTGCACTAAACAGTAACTCCCTATTTCTTCTTTCCCAGCTCCTGGTAACTTCTGTTCCACTTTCTGTTTTTATGAATTTGACTCCTCTAGGTATCTCATACAAGTGGGCTCATATAATATTTGTCCTTTTGTGCCTGGCTTATTTCACTTAGCTTAATGGCTTCAAATTTTATCTATGTTGCATCACATATCAGAATTCCCTTCTTTCTTGAGAATGAATAATATTCCATTGAATGCATAGAATACATTTTATCCATTCAACCATTGATGAACAATTGAGTTGTTACCACCTTTTGGCTATTGTGAGTAATGCTGCTATGTACTTTGATGCACTCAACCATGTAATTTCTAACACTGCAATTGCACCCTGCCTCTTTTTCCCATTTCTGCTCCTCTGTGCCCCTCCACCACTGTAGGTGCAAGCCCTTTCAGTTTTGTTGCTGTAGGTATGTCAGCCTCATGGGTATCCTCTAAAACTATTCCTTTATCTCTCTTTGCAGTGTCCAGTCCAGCCAGAAGAAGAGTCAAAAGCTCTCAACACCTTTTGACCAAGAATGTAAGGAAACTTCAGTTTTGATCTCATTATTGACTTTCATTTTAAAAAAAGAAATGCCTAACTTCTTTTTTAAATTTTTATTTATTAATTTTAGAAAGAGAGAGTAAGGGAGAGAAACATCAATTTGTTGTTCCACTTACCGGTATTTATGTATTCATTGGTTATTTCTTGTATGTGCCCTGACCAGGGATCAAACCTACAACCTTGGTGTATTGGGATGATGCTCTGACCAACTGAGCTACCCAGCCAGGGCCCTAGGTCTAGCTTCCTCACTCTCTCTTGCTCTCAGTATAACCAGGAAGGCTTTCTATAGCTCATGCTGTTGTTGTTGCATTCCCCCTCTTCTACTTAACCAAAATAATTGACAATGTCAACCAGACAGCACAAAGCTCTGAATCAGACCCCTCTATTCTGCCATTTTTTTCCCAGACACAGAGAGTAAATCTTGTTTTATATATACTCTTTTTCTTATTTAAACAGAGTTCACAATGTGGGTATAGCATCCCCGACCTGGGTATTCCCCTATTGTTGGCATTTGCAATGTTCTATTTTTTTCACTATTATAAATAGCAGTACAATGAGTTTATTTGTACAAAATACTATTTTTTGGATTAATTCCTTGGTGCATAGGCCTCAAAGAAGAATTAACAAGTAAAAGGATAAGAGTAGTTTCATCTATGCATCCATCCATCCGTCAAATATTTACAATCCTATTATGAATAAGAGACACTGAGCTAGATGGGGAGAAGTAATAGTAATTTTTTTTAAGATTTTTTTATTCCCTTATTTTTAGAGAGGAGGAAGGGAGGAGAAAGAGAGGAAGAGAAACATCAATATGTGGTTGCCTCTCTTGTACTCCCCACTGGGGGCCTGGCCTGCAGCCCAGGCATGTGCCCTGACTGGGAATGGCCCTTTGGTTCTCCTGCAGGCGCTCAATCCACTGAGCCACATCAGCCAGGGCAAAATAATAGTAATTTTTAAAAATGGTTTCTGCTTACAGTTTTGTCCCATGTGGCCAGGAATTCCGAACAACTGCCAGGCCTGCAGCCATGCTTTTTCACTTACCTTCAACCTCACCAACATTGGCTTTCATTGTTTTTTGTATTATCTTTTGCTACTTTAATAAGCATATGCATTACCATGAAATTAGTTTACATGTCTTCAGAGCCTAATGGTGCTGTGAATTTCTCGGTTTACTTACAGATTTCTTTATATACAAGCTGTCATACATCTTTGTACTTTAAAAAATGTATTTTAACTGCTAATTGCTTCCTTTTTTATACTGGAGTTTCTATCACAGTTTTTCATAGAGCAGCATTTTGATTTTCTAAGTATCTCAATTTTTAAAAATATATTCTCCATTAAAAAACAATTTTTAAATGTCTTCGGAATGAGGTGGGGGTTTTACTCGTTGTTTTTATGTACATTTATTACTTTTTTAAAGTATCCAAAGCAGTATGTGCCCATTATGAAATTTGAAAAGTTATAAAGATATAAAATATAGTATTAATAAATTCTGAGAAGCTGTGGAGCACAGAAGTTAGGTGTGTAGACTTAGAGTCGAACTGTCTGGTCTTAAATTCCAGTTCTACCCATTTCTATCTATCTGACCTTGGGCAAGTGGCACAGCCATTCTGGGACTCAACTTCCTTAGCATTAAAATGGGGATAAAAAGAGTACTTGTTTCAAGAACTATTGGAAGGAGCAAATGATCTAATCCCTGTAAACCACTCAGTCCTAAACCGGACCCACGCTGAGCGTTCAATAAACACTGGCATGTTTTCAAGTGAAAATTTCACATATATTAACAACTATTATACTTTATTACTCAACAGCATATGGTTTTGCAACTTTATTTACTAATCCCATTCTTTATAAAGGTTGCATAGTGTGCCATTGTATGAATATACCATAAATTTTTACCCAAATCTGGAGTTTTCTTAATTATTTAACCAAATTGTCAATAAATGCGGTTCCCCATTTTTTTTCTGCTAAACCAATGCATAAAAAATATACTTGAGCCCTGGCTGGTGTGGCTCGGTGGACTGAGCACCGGCCTGCAGACCAAAGGGTCACCGTTTCGATTCCCAGTCAGGACACATGCCTGGGTTGCAGGCCAGGTACCCAGTTGAGAGGCAACTGATCTATGTTTCTCTCCCTCTCTTGCTTACTCCCTCCTCTCTAAAAATAAATATAGAAAATCTTTAAAAAAACAGAAAATGCTCAAACCATATGAATATTAGAAAAATAATATAGCTATTGCCAAATTCTAAACAACTGTGTTTTAAAAGTACCTTTACCAGCACACCTGAACCAATATTGTATGGTAACAATGTTGATAATCTTTGACAATCTAATAGGTGAAAGTGTCTTATTGTTTTAATTTGCATTTCTTTAATACCGTTCCTCATCTTTTTATAGATTTTATTTTTTCACTCCGGGTTGCTTACTCATGTCTTTTGCCTATTTTTTTTTCTGTCAGTTGTATATCTTTTTAAAATAACTTCTGCAAATATTTTATATATTAACAAAGAAAACGGATTTCGATGGATGGAATATTGCCTTGTTTAGGGCAAGAAAATTTCTTTATTGTCATGGTCCCTGAAAACTTAACCCCACCCTCTCGTAGAAAAATGTTCTTGACTTTTAAGGAACAGTGGATATTACCAAAAAAAAAAAAAAAAAATGGTAAAGAAAGCAGTTGTTTGAAGGTAAGTTAGAGTTTAAGAAAAGTTTCATAACAGACATTTCAATCAAGGCCTTGAGTTTGGCATTATCTTGGATTTGAAAGAGCCACAAATTATTCATGACTCAGGGACAATCCCAAAGGAATTAGGAATGTTTAGTTCTTAATGACGTTGTTGCCTTGAATTTCTAAACTTAAACAATGTTCCTGTCTGAATTACTCTTTATACCAATATCTACTGGCTTTGTAAGGAAAGAACAATGGTTACAAAAACTTAAAATGGAAACTAAATCACTGTATTTTCTAGGATCCTGGGAAAGAAAGTTCTCAGGGGTCTTAGAACCTAAATGAAGGAGGCAACTCTCGATGGTGGAGATAGATGAAGCCACATGAACATTAGATACTCAAAACCACCAAAACACTGGGCACAGCCTCCTGGAATATCCCACTGACTTCAGCCAGGCACTGTACAACCATGCTCTCAGGTTTCCTGGGAGTGCAAATTTTTGAGAAAGACTGCTATGTTTATGGTTTATGAATTCCCCTCTCTAAAATATTTTTTACTCAGAGACAAAAATGACTTAAGAATATGAATACATATAAAAATTGCTTTTGATTAAAAAAATAAAAAACAGCCCTGGCTGGGTAGCTCAGTTGGTTGGAGCGTCATCCCGTACACCAAAAGGTTGCTGGTTCTAACATCAGTTGGGGTGCATATGGGAGGCAACCAATTGATGACGTTTCTCTTTCACCCTCTCTCTCTCCTTCCCTTCTTCTCTCTCTAAAATCAATAAACACATCCTCGGGTGAGGATTTAAACAAAAAATCAGAAGCTAGGATCTTGTCTTCAAATATGCAATCTTCCCCACCCCACCCCCCTTCTGTGAGAGAGCTTCCCAGTGCCCTCTGGCCTTGGGGCTCTCCTCTGAATTTCTGATTTCCCCTCACAGCCTGAGTCACTCATCCTTTACTTATAAAACTCAGCCCCAGCCGTACAGAACATTCAAATTAAAAAAGACAGAAAAGATCTCTCAGTCCACCTCAGTTGGGGAAAGGGAGTCCCAAAGAAGAAAGAATTGGCTCTGATCTCTTGTTTCCTCATCCAACTGGCTCTCAGCTTCCCTTTGAGTTCCTGAGAAAATGATTTATATTTCACATCTGCTCTAATGGACCAATGTTTATGACTTTCTTTGCCCTGAAACTCTTATTTGTATCTAGTATCACTCCTTTGGCTACCATGTGGATGTCAGATTCTTTCCTTTACAAATATTTCATTACTTTCTGTACCATCCTTAGTGTTACAGTTTCCCCTCTCTCTGGACTCCTCTTAAGTTCTTTTTTTTTTTTTTTTTAAGTCTGAACTCAGGGGATAACCACATATTGCTCCTTCTCTAGACAATCTCTCTGGTCTTTTTTCCCCCCTTGGATTCTTAGGCAGTTTTATTGCACTACTGATCAACCTGATGCCACCTGCATTATAAGGGCAGCTCAAAGGAATGAACTGCCATGAAGGTGTGGGTGAGTGGAGGCCCTACCTCTGTGATTCATGAGCAGCAGGGCCACCACCAGGAAAGATAGAGAAATGAGATTACAAATGTCACATTCTCCCCAGATTTCAATCTTGCAGAGGAGGGATTTTTCTGGAGATGGGCTGATGTTTCAAAATGCACTGAGCAATCATCTGCCTTGGAAAATTCTTCTCTGGATGTAGGTACTTCTGTGGGTCTGACAAAGAGCATTCAGGAGCCATAAAACCACAGTGCTTGTCCTGGCTCTGCCCCTTGCAGCTCTGTGACCTTGAAGGCACATGGCTTCTCCTGGCAGCAGTTTCCCTGTGTGTATAATTAGGGAGTTGGGCTAGAAGAACTCCCATCAGCCCCAAATCATGATGATTCTTCACCCCCTACAATCACCTGCCTTTCTAACGCCCTGTTAATATACTCAACACCCTGCTACGAGTGCCCCATCTTCACCACGTCCTCAGGGTGCTAACAAGCCTACTCTCAGACCAGTTTGTTCTAAGACCAGCAGCACCAGCAACAAGCCCAGAAAATAAACCAGGCTGTCAGGAGGCCACAACCATCCATTCAACTGTGGGCCTAACACACTGCTCTGGAGCCTCTCAGAGCCTCTCTTTGCGGGAAATAAGAACCAAGGACAAAGCCAGCTATGAAAGGGAAAGCTTCTGAGCTGGGCCCCTCTCCTCCCTCCTTCCCTGCTGTTAGCATACTTTTGGAGGGATTGGGGAAGATATTCTGGAGAGGCACTTGGCCTTAAATCGTAATCTGACAGGAGTCTCTCTGCTCCCCGACCCAATCTTGTCCCCCAGTCCACAGTGCAGAGAAGGGATGACAGAGGTGGAGGTTCTTGGTCCTGACAGGGAACATTTCCTTCCCTGAGAGAGGAGAAAACGTGGGTCCCCCACCCATGGACTCCTCAGGCTTTCACATCCTGCTTTATTTTCTTGGTCCACAACGTGGGTCTGAAAACACATCAGTCTTCGTTATTCTTCCTGAGAGGAATGCCAGAAAAATGAAAAAAAATTCAGAAATACTTGTGATGAGAGACCTAGAAGTGTCAAACAATGAGACTCAGGTTTTTCCTACTCAACCTGGAGATTCATATTCTGGGGAAGGGCCCTTAGGTCAAACAGTCCATGCGTCCAGGGGAATGGGACTCTGAACCAGCATTACTCCGGAAAACTCCAGTGTTCTGGGCAACATCGCGGCAGAGCGCAGTGCTAAAAGAAAGGGAGGGAGGAGAGCAGAGGGGTGTATGTGCAGGGTGCTGAGTGCCGTACCACCCACTGCCATGCCTCACAGACCCAACGAGCCAGCATCCAGTCGGGGTGCTGCCCCCCACCTGCGCTGGAGGCCGGCTGAAAGCAGGAACACCACCTTCTGCGCTGTCCACAGGATAAAGGAGACTAATCCTAAATGCTCCTGAATTATCAAGTTTCTCCAAAGGCACAGAATGAGTAAGTCTGGACCCTAAAATGGGCCTAAGAAGAGTTAATTTCCTGTCCCATATAAGACCAAATGTGGGATATATTAATTTTCTAAGCAAAGAACTACTTGTGGTAAACTGAGGCAAAGAGTGGCAGGTGCCCTTACGGTATTTTCCTCTGTGGGAGACATGAACTCCTCTCAGATGCTATAGATAAATACAGGGGTGGGCAAAAGTAAGTTTGCAGTTGTGAGTATGTGAAACACCGAGTTTATTCTTGTTTTATTATTTATTAATTTGTATTTTTCCGTATGAACAACTGTAAACCTACTTTTTCCCACCCCTATGTATGGATGAACTAAAAGAGTGAGCTGTGCTATTAAAATCTCTACTAAGGAGAGCCGCTTACTATCCCCCAGTACAGCAAGGGCAGGCAAGGACGTTCCCTTCCTGCATAACCCCAAGGTGTCAAACCTGGGGGCAGAACTCAGGTCTGCCTGAACCCAAATGAGTATCTCCATCAAAGACAATATGACAGAAGAGAAAAAAATTATTGTTTAAATTTATATAATTTGAATATTGTTCATCTTTTCATGCATTGGCCCTTTGTATACTTATTGTCAATTGCCAGATCATGTTTTTTGCCTCATTTTTCTGGTCTTCCTCTATATTGATTTTAAGAGTTCTAGGTACATAGGCATAATTTCCCATTGTAAGTAACAAATGTTATATTAAACCATATTCTAGTGTTTGAGGTTTTGGGGGGCTGTTTTTTTAAACACGCATCTTTGATCTGCCGGGTATTCATTTTGGCATGAGACATGTGGACAGGGGTCCATTTGCCTGGCCTGACATTTATTCCAGCAATATTTATTAAAGATTTCTTTTTCTCCACTCAATTGAAATATTACCCTATTACAATATTTAAAAATTCAGTCTTTTTTGCTTCACATCCCTCAAATGTAAAGCCATTTGTATATGTGGACAATTGAGAGGGTTCAGTCAAAAGCTGGTCTGTAGAGCTGAGATGGGTCCACCTCATTCACAGATGCACCATGTGCCCAGGATCTGTCTCAGAACATGTCCTCGCAGGGTGTCTGTGGAGGAAAGGAACAAACACATCAGTAAGTGCAAACCTCAGAGCAACTGCCATGTACTATTGGAGGTTCCAACCACCTTCAAAGGAGTAAGAAATTTAGAATGAATGGCTCCAGCATCGAGGATAGGTATAAAAATATGCAGGATAGGAGCCCAAAAGGGTTAAGTTTCCCTTTGTCCCTCCAGGTTATAAGGTATCATTTGTCTCAAGATTTTACATTTCAATTTTCAATGATTTAAGTATTCTATTGTAATTTTTAAGGTGAGTTTTGGTGGGCCCTGACGAAAGGGGTATTTCCCTTTAATGTACTTCCAAAAATACCTATTCAGCAAGTGATCATTACAGAGAGCGACCTAGCATCTAGCACCCTGTTCTGGCTCACCAGGATTCCCACCTACAGAACCACATCCCGGGACCTTCGTCTGCCAGCTCTCCTGACACAGGCATTCCACGAGGTGGAGGAAACTTGAACATTCCAGAGCTATGCCTGCTCTGTCTTGCCAGAAGCGTCTTTCTTTTTAAAAACCTGGACATCGAGGGTTGTGCCCTGAGTCCGCTCCCTGAGCCTTCCCTCTGCTTGATCCTTGTCCCCAACAAAGTTATCCTCGCCGGGAGCAAGGGTGCCCCCGTGGCTGCAAAGACCATAAGACCCCAAATTCCAAGACTATCCCCATTTCAAATAACCTATCCTGGTGTCAAACCGCGTCAGGCCAGGGGGCCGATGAGCAGCCCTGATGTCTGGCCCGAGGGCCCAGGGCCCTGACCGCGGGGGCGGAACTGCTGCCGAGGAGCCCCTGGGGCTCGCGTTCCCCTGCGCATGGCACCGTGGACATTCTGAGGTTTGTTAATCAGCGGTTTCTGGCCAGTTTACCCAAGTTTTTTCATTGTCCCCTAGCATCCAGTGACGGAAGAATAGCTCCAAAGCATGAGTGTTGGGACCAGGCCCATCCGCAAAGCTGCAGCCCTGGCCTGGGCTATGGATGCCTAGGTCTGATTTGGGCCACAAGCTGACTGTCCTTCCTCCTCCTGGCAGGTGGTGACCGAGTCGGACCTGCACTCCCCCCGGCCCCTGGAGCGGCTGCCGCACCGCAGTGACCGCCCCGACAGCGAGGGCCGCAGGGCTGGCAGGCTCCAGAGCTCATGGCAGCAGGGGCTCCACCCTGCCAAGACCCCTGCCAGAGCGGGTATGTGTGCCCTGACCCCTGTTCCTGGTACCTCCCTGGGGGACAAGGACTCACTTAGAGCAGTGGCTGCAGAGTCTGCATCCTGGTTTATGTTCCATGTGACTGCATCACGATGCTCCCTAGTGTCCTCAGTCACAACAGGTGAGCGGAGGGCCTGTGGCGTGGGGACTACCCACTTCCCCCGTGCATGCTGTTCTCGCTTTCAATGCGCCTGCTCTCAGGCCCTGTCTACAGCAGTCCCCACAGCACCGTCCACCTGGAAAACTCGCTTCTGGTGTGTGTAGTAAGCAAAGATGCTTTCAGCTACCATCATGCCCACAGGAAGCCCTGCTGAATTCAGGAGGAGATGAAAGTTGTTATGTTCCAGGGGAGAGAAAACCAGCGTAGTCATGATTCATAAAGCAGAAACCGACATTATTTATTGTATAGGCAGTGTGTGTGCGTAATTAAACAGACTCTTCATAAACTCCATCTTAAAATCTCCCCATCATAAGTTTAAATGACTTGGTTTAGTTCAACAATTTATAAAAAGAATTTTGTGACAAATTTGTTTCAAAAGCTGGAAACAGTATAGTCTTACCTTTCACACTATGTTTATAAATGGCTTCCACCTCAAGCAGTCCAACACTCATCTTCTCTAGCTCGCTGAAGTCTGTGATGGTATTTTGCCTTTAATTGCTGGTTTAGATTATGTCTTTTATGCCCAGAGCCTAAAATTATTCATATTTTAACTCCAAAAATACACAGCAGAATATCTGGGATGTCCTTCACGAAGCCTTTGCGTGTCAACAAATGTGTATGTTACAAAAACTGAAATAGATCTCCATTGAGGGTGTCCCTTCACCCGTCCCTCCTCTAAAGTTTCTTTGACTGACACCCTGATCCTGTTTTTATGACCCTGCTGGGAGAATGCATAAAGCAATCTATATTCTCTAGTTAAGTGATTACATATATACATATGTATGTAGAATGAAAGCGTTACGAAAATCACAATCTGACTTGCAAATTAAGAGGAGATAAGTTTTTCTCTATGTCTATATATAGGTGAGTGGGTGGGTGCATGTGTGTGTGTGTGTGTATGTGTGTGTGTAGAAAGAGAGAAAGAGAATATCTTCACTATAAAATCATAAAGTGAATTTAGAGCCATGTTTCTCAAAGTTTAATGTGCAAAAGAATCGCCTGAGAATCTTATTATGCAGATTCCAATTCAGTAAGACCAAGAAAGGCCCAGGATTTTATGTTTCTAATAAGCTTCCAGATGATGCTGAGGATGTTGGTTTGAGGACAACAAATTGATTAGCAAGGATTTAGAGATGATTTAATGGGTGATTCTCAAAGTGGGGCCCTCAGAGCAGCAGAATCACCTGGGAACTTGCTAGAAATGCAAATGTTGGGTCCCACCTGGAACTTTTTGAATCAGAAGTTCTGGGGTGAAGCACTCCATCTGTGTTTTAACAACCCCCCCCCCCCGCCAGGTGATTCCAGTGCCCACTGAAGGTAGAGAACCACTGATCTATTACACCCACCCTTGCCAATTTACAGAAGGGAAAATGGAAACCATTGGAAACTGTGTTAATTACCCAAGGTCACACTCCTCCTTTGCAACAAAACTGAGATTAAATCTCAGAGCTCCTAATTTCCTAGTTAACGCCTCTTCCCCACAGAGAGTAATGTCTTCCCAACTGTCTCATTTTAGGGGACACTTTCCTTCTTTTCTAAGTAGCTCATGGAAGCTTGAACTGACCAAGTCAGTCTTTTATTCTGAACAAGGAGACCAGTAAGTTATGAAATGGAGAGAATCTGCCCAACATGCGACAGTCAGCTCATGAGGGAATGTGCTAGACAAGTTTAGAAGGAAAAAAAACAGAAAAGATTGAGCTGGGCATTGATTCAACCTTCAGCTCCTAGAACCTGATAGATTCTAGAGGAGGCAGGAGAGAGGGAGGGCTTCTGAACCAGAGCCCAACCCAGGGCCTCCACAGGAAGGCTTGGCGCCAGCCATCGACATCGTCTTCCAGCCTCCTGCCAGCGGACGTGTGTCTCCAGGGACCTCAGAACTGGGGACCTGTTTCTTTTCTGAGACACAGGAGATGGCTTCTGGATGCTGTAGGCTTCTCACATGGGAGAAAGATTCTCTGAAGAATCTTGGAAATTGTGGGGACTCTGAAGGCAGAGGCCCAGCTGAGAAATGATCCTCCATGTGGCCTTGAGCAGGTGAATCTCAGGTGCCTGGAAAGGAGACACCCCACCTCCTGGGCCAGGGAGAATTGGTCAGCTGTGGAACCTTTCTACCAAGATGTCCTCAGGCACCTCAGAATCAAATTTTTCAAATGGAGCTCATCTTCCTCACTCAAACCTCTCTTCCTTCCTCAGCTGGGGCCATGATCCGTCTTCCCAGCAAGCCGCTGGGGCATTTTCCCCTATACGCCTTCCTTCCCCCACCCCTACTCTACTCACCACTTCACACACTGAACACTGACAGTGTCAACCCCTAGATGTGTCTCATCTGTCCCTCTTGGAACCTGCCTCCAGCTACCTGGACTCAGTGTCCCTTCATCATCGCTTGAGTGTAGCAGCCATCCCTGGCCCTCAGCCACCAGTCCCCCTCCCTCCATGAGACCACCAGGAGGGTCCTTCTAAAGCCGAAATCTGCCTCTGCTATTCTTCTTCTGTAAACACTGTCATCGCCACCTGCAAACCGCCCCCATCATGACCAAGGCCCTCCAGGACGTGTCTTCTGCTGATGTCTCCCGGGCTACCTCCTGTGACACTCCTGGCCCTGCCAGTCCATGCACAGAGCAACCCTGAGCTGCTGTGCAGTCCTGTCGCCTCTCCCTGATACACTGTTTCCCCGGGCCTTCGCTGACACTCTTCTCCCTGCGGGCTGCCCTCCCTGGGTCTGTCCACCTAGCAAACTCCTCCCAGGCCGGGTTAGGGGGTCCCCAGGTCGAGTCTCTCCAGCCGTGCGAGGCCAAAGAGGAAGTTTGCCATTCTCAAGATCATCTTTACCAGCTTCATCAAAATTGTTATGTATTACTAAAGCCCCGGGATTCTCACCTAGGAAGTGGGGACTATGATGACAACTACCTGTCGGGGTTGTGGTGAGGACTGAATTAGATAATGTGTGTGTGTGTTTTACACCCCGCACACCGCCTGACACAGTAAATACTCAAAAATATGAGCTGCTATCCTTACTTTTGACAGAGCACTGCTCATCATGGTTTGATATTGGTAGTCTTGTAACTTTGTTTAATTGTCATGGAGACGTTTTCCTGAAGGTGGGGGCGCTTTATTTCTATGTGCTCAAGTGTGCTGGGATGGGGCTCCTCCTGGAATGTCTGCCCCAGGGGAGGGCGATATTGAAAGCCACCTCCCCCACCCTCAACCCCTGCCCGGTGCCAGCTCCCTCAGCTCAGCACCTGGATTCTCAGAAGCTACAGGCGTCAGAGTAGAAATTACTCAGAAGCAGGTCAGGCCTTGGGAATAAAGGCATAGCAGAAGGTCCTCAGGTACCTCTCGGGCAGCCAATGTCTCAGGACGCCGAGAAGCTCCAATTGTTCCACATCATGACGCTGTACTTCCCACCACAGCAGGACTTCTCTGCTCGTTTTCACACAGGGGTGCCCAGGAGTGGAAAGGTAAATAACTGATCCAAGCCATAAAGACTTCATTCCTCATAACTTCTGTGATCTGGCGCCTTAGGAAGGAAGGAGATGCTGAGGGCACATTCTCTGAGCACCTGCTTATTAGACCTTAGTTATTGCCCCCCAGAAGGGTGCCAAGAGTGCCAGGGGTGCAGGTGACCCCCTCAGCAGTTCCCCTGCTGCCTGACCCTACCGCTCCACTCTGCTGCTTGGTACAAGGCCTTTAGAAATTCCCAGCATGTCATGAAATAGAACGAAATCTTACCTTTTGTGACAGTGTGGATGGACCTAGAGGGTATGATGCTACGTGAAATAAGTCAGACAGGGACAAATGCCATAGGATTTCACTTATATGTGGAATTTAAAGAACAAAATAAAAAAAACAAAATAGAAACAAAACAGACTGACAGCTGTCAGAGGGGAGGGGGTTTAGAGGACGGGGTGAAAAAGATGAAGGGATTAAGAAGTACAAATTGGTAGTTACAGAATAGTCCCAAGGATGTAAATTACAGCACACATCATATAGTTAATAGTATTGTGGTGACTTTGCATGGGGCCAGGTGGCTACCGGAAGCATTGGGGGGACCACCCCGCAAAAGGACATGATTTTTTTAACCACTCTGTTGTACACCTGAAACTAATACAGAATAATATTAAATATAAACTGTAATTTAAAAAATAAAAATATATATGTAAGATAATTTTTTAAAAAGGAAGAAATTCCTGGCTTTGATAATCAATGCAGACCCAAGGGAGGCAGAAGTGGGCGCACTGAGTGATGTGCCCTCCATTCGCCTTTGCAGGGGGGATCGCTGAACCCAAATCATCGACTCTGTGTGGCAGTCGAGCCTATGGAAAGTCTTTCGTGAGTATATAAGCCTGGGGAGTTGTATCTGTTGTGCCCTACCTGTGCCATGACAAGAGGCTGAGTGTCCTTTGGGCCAGTTCTGAGGGTTCTTTGCTCCTATTGTCTGTCAGCTTGTGGCACACCAGTGGTGGCTGCTGTTTTTCTTGCCAGAAATTCAGCTTTTAGGCAAACAGAAGAAGGTGTTGCCCAGTGGGCATCTCAAACATGGGGCAAAAGAAACGTTTCTATGGCTGGCCCCTGTCCAGTGGAAATGGCTGCCCAAGTCCTAATGGCAGCTACAGGGGGAAAGGGATGTAAGGGGCCCCGAGCATTGTGAAAACACAAAGCACCAGTTGTTTCAGGATGGGACGCATCTGAAGGGCACCTGCCCCAGCTCAGTTTCCCCAGAAGCCAACTCTGAGATTCAGGGTGTAGGATAAGAAATGTGCAGTAGGGATCAATGCCTGTGACAAGAGAAGGGTGGCAGGCCTGGACACTGCCACACAGACCTGACTCCTCCCGGTGGAAGCTCTGGGGCAACTCGGATTGCCCATCCAACTCGGATTGTCCCGAGCGGGGCCCAAGAAGCCAGAGATTTCTGTTTCCTCCTCGCCCTGTCAAAACATGTGGAATGCCCCACAAGGGCATGACTTCGGACGATGTGGCCCTTCTGCAGCTGAGACCTACCTGAGGGAGCTGAGAGCCATTTGTTGCCTGTCCTTCCCTGAAGGGGGATCATTGGGTGGTATGTGTCGTGGTCTAGCTCAGCATCTCCCTGAAAAAATCAGGTTCCTGCATCTCCTTCTGGACATGAACACGGTCCCGGAGGTTAGCACAGCAGGGGTGGGGTCATGGCTCGAGCTGAGGCTGGCTCAGTCTCCCTGTGCTCAGTGAGCATCAGCCCTCAAGATGCATGGACTGTGCCCTGTGAGAACTGAAAGAGATCTTGCGGATTGTCTGGCCCAGCCCCTCATCCTGAGGGAACAAACTGTACAGAGATGTGAGCACTTCACGCCTGGTCTGAGCGGGAAATCTAGCCTAAGTATCTTATCTAAGGCATCCCTATCCTAGCAAAACCACACAATGGGCCAGGATGTGACAAGCTGTTTTGTCAGGAGCCCCACATCCCAACCACGGGGCCCCCAGCTTGGATCACCAGCCCCAAGGCCTGGGCCTGGGCTCAGACATTGCTCTTGGCAAAGAGGTAGTTGTGGCTAGGAAGCCAGAGCAAGTTAGGACGGGACTGGGTGGCGATGGGGACACAGGTACAAAAGGGGGGCAGTAATAATGCATGAGGCAAAGAGGCAGCATGAGTGACCCTTTCCTCTGGGCCTGAGACAGTGGGGCTGGGGTCCTGCAGCTCATCAGAGGCTGGAGAGCAATTCGGAGCTCGCGCAACTAAGTCCGCGACACTGACTTCAACACTGAGATGCATGGGAGGATGACAGACTCCAGACAGTGGGAAAGAAGGCAGGTGGGTGTGTGTTTCCCCTGCTGCTGGCATGATGGGAAGGGAGAGCTCCCAAGGGGCCACCAGGTGGCACAGTAACTCTGCACACAACCCCCGGGCCGGTTCAGGACAGAGCGGGGAGGTGAATCGTGGTGTCCTCAACCTGGAATTTCTCAGCGATCCCAGGAACATGGTGACCTTCGATCTTCTGTGGGCCTTGGGGTGGAGGAACAAAGGAGAGCGTGTGTCCGTTGACAGAGCGACCTCTGGACCAGGCCCAGGTTAGGCCATCCGTTAATTTTCACTTCAGTAGATGTTTCTTGAGTGCTCACCACCTCCTTTTGGAAAGCTGAGGAGGGCCACCAACGCTTAAGTCCCAGGCCCTGACCATACACTGTGTGACCTTTCTGGGGAGTAGGGAACTGGACAAACGTATGAAACAAGTAGAGAACCGTAAAACGACAGGATTGGTGGGATGCTAAAACATGTCACAGGTACACAGTGCTGTGGTGATGTGAGGACAGAATGAAATCAGTTTGGGCCACCAGCCTGAGGGGCGGCTTCCTGGAGGAAGTGGGCCTGAAGGACAGGCAGAGATGAGGTGCAACCCTGAGAGGGAAGGAAAAGCCAAGGAGAGATGTGGGACTGGGCATGAGCATTGGGAGAGGCCGGCGTGGCCCTGCTGGGACTGGAACTGCTGGTCGCCGTGGAGGACGACAGAAGCTGCGTAGAGGAGGTGGAGTCGGCTTCGAGGAGGCTTAAAGAGCAGGCCGCAGAGGAGGCTTCAGTCTGCCCCTCAGTGGGGAGGCCCCGCAAATCCAGGAGGGGCCTGTAGTATGTGGCAAGGAGGCCCCAGGTGACCGGGCCTGAGGCTGCAGCAGAGGAAATGGAGAGGATGGCAGAAATCGTGGCAGTGTTCCAAAGCCAGGACCTGCACAATTTGACAGCAAAGGGGACACAGACCATGAGGGTGCCAGGGGGACAAAGTTCTCAGGTAAGACTGAGTTGCTCTTTCTCAAGTTTCTTCTCAAAGTGGGATCCCAGTACTAGCAGCGCCTAGGAACTTGTTAGAAATGCATATTCTCAGGTCCACCTCAGGCCTACTCAGTCGACACCCAGGTGGACGCAGCACAGCGCTAACGAGCCCTCCGGGGGAGTCTGATGCCCACTGAGGTGTGAGGACTATGGCCCTGGGTTGATGGTGGCTCAGTTTAGCCATCCCCCTTTCAAATGGCTCCAGCAGCATCAGAGTTGGGACCGTGGCTACATCCTCACATTCTCTTCCCCTTCCTTACAACCCAGATTCCTCCGGTGGCCCGGATCTCAGTGAAGGCCCCCACAGCTGTCCTGGAGGCAGTGGGCACGGGCTCGGAGAACAGAGCTGTCCTGACAAGAGGGTAAGTGCTCTGCCTCCCCGCCCACTGCCTGCAGGGCGCCCCACCTGCTCAGCCTGAAGAAGAGTAACAGGTGGCCGGGCTGACAGACTCTCAAGATGCTAACACAAAATCCATGCCAGCTGCGAATTCCCTCTTAATGAGGGCAATCATCCTGGGTAACTGTTTCCCTGGGATGAAGCTGAAGCCTTTCTGATGGTTTCCACTTCATTAACGCCACTCTTTAGGCTCGGAGAACTGTCGCTTGGAAGATTTTTGGTTAATTAGATAAATGTAATCACAGTCCCTATTCAGAGCCTCCCACAGGCGTGCTGAGGTCAGAAATGCCTCCTGAATTAGGTTCAGGGCCCTGCCCAAAGGTAAAGAAGTGTGGGAGATACAAAGGTTTCAAACCAAATGCATCACGCCCATGTTACTGTTTCTTCTGATCCAGAGCCGGCAGCTAGCATGCAGGGGTGGGTAACGCCCCCGCAGCGCCCTCGCTGCCTTCAGTTGGCGCACTAGGAAGGTGGCAGGCAGTCGTCTTACGCTCAGTTCGCCTTGTCCATTTGTGTCCCAGACACCACCCATGCTGCAGGTGGCCGTCAAGTGGTGCTGCTCGCCGGGCAGGCCACTGCCTTGCTATGACTTCAGGCAAATTATTCAGACCTCCATGCCGTTATTTAATTAAAACAAATAAACAAACAAACAAAGGGAATGAATGAGATAATATGTGAAGAGCTTAGCACAAACCGTTGCTATATCACTTTTCTAGAAACTTACAGTCTAGTAGTTGGAAAGACACGTACTTGAGCACATGTTAGATGCAGACATGTGAGGGACCACAGGCTAAACTGTCAATCCGAGGGGTGCGTACCTTGAACCTTGGGACTCCAAGGAGAAACAGGCCAGTGCAAAGCCCTTCTAGATGGAGGAAAGACCTCCAGAAGGAATTGTAAAAGCTAAGTGACATAACGTATTGGGACCTACCAGGAGAAAACTAAGAAAATCATTTGGATCTCATTAAGTTCTAGCAGCAAATTGTTCTCAGCAGCGATGACTTTTGGTGACCGCTGGAGTAAGCCAGCAAGAACTTGCCAGCCCCAGCAGAGGCTGGCCTTACCAGTCCATGCAGCTGCGTTGCAAAGGGTTATAAATGGGTCCTTTCTCTCTAAGCTCAGACATTCTCATTTCATTTTGTTCCTGGGCCCTGGCTACTGACAGGTAAGGCCATTTCTTTCACCTATGGAGAGAAAATGAGGAGAAAAATGAACATTTATGGAGGCCTACCATGTACCTGATTCTTTATTTTCTCTATTTTCTCCTCACAAAAGCCTCGTTTTGAATCTGAGGCTGCTTGAGTTTAAGTCCCTCACCTGAGGCCATACAGTAAACAGGGAGGAGGATTCAAACCCAGGGCTCCTGCTCTTTCAATAGCCAATGCTTTGGGACCTCCGCCCCTTCCCGCAAGATTGTTCCAGTAGAGGTGGGAGGGGTGGGAAAGCGGGACTTGGGACAAGAGCAGAACTTGAGGTCCATGAACCAGTGTGCCCAAGACCGTCTCCTTCCCTCACCTTTTTTGAGGATCCCCCAGGTGGAGTCGTTCCTGCATGCGTCCCAAGAATGACGTTCCCTCCTGGTCCCAGGTTGTGTGAGCAGAGGAGGAATAAGAGCTGAGGCTATTCTTCTTCAGAGCAAAAAGTAAAAGTCTGGCTCACTGAAGTGACTACCTCCCTCCCCACCCCTGGCTTTGCTTTAGATCCAGACATCCCAAGAAGAAAACTGAAGAGTACCCAACCCTCCCCCAGGGAGCAGAAGCCTCCCTGCCGCTGACAGGGAGCGTGTCCTGCGGCGTTCCCAGCATCCTCCGGAAAATATGGACGAGGCACAAGAAGAAGTCTGAATACATGGGAGCTACCAACAGCGCCTTCGAGGCTGACTAAAGGTGACCTTCCCCAGGTGCCTTGAGTTGGCCAACATTCACTGCACACGGAGAAAGCTGGATTGGAATGGAGCCACACTTGCCTCCACGAGTAGCTGGTCTGAGCACATCATCCTCCCTTACCACCCGATCACCTGGCTTATGACTCATGAAAGAAACCTCCCTCAAAGGCAAAAGAAAATTGTTCTTTCTCAGAATCGCTAAAGCCCCTGGTCTGAAAGTGACGTTGGGAGGTCCTGAGTTTATATTTCTCCCATTAAGTAAAACCACACCAAAATAAAACTTCCCCGGACCATTTCAAAGACCTCCAAGGAAGGAAGCGGGGGATTCTTCCATCTTCCTTGTGAGCCCTTCCCACGTGTGTGATCTCTGGTACAAATGTAAGAGCTTGATGGCTGAGGCACTTGTAAACCCAGGGGTTCTTACTACTCCTGTTGTCACATGAATTTCATTTTGATGGGGTATGATTTTCAATGAGGAGGCACTATATGTTGACTATATGTTGCAACTATATGTTGACTTAGTGTAAATATCTGCCTGAGAATAATGTCAAGATGGGTTTTGATGATCATTTGGCATGATTGCATGAATTTTATTTTATGTGCAGTTTTTTAAATAGAAAAATATGATTAAAAGTTCATTGTTGAATGCTAATGTTTTCTGAAATGGCATAGTCTAGTGGAATTAATACTTTGCTTTGGTATAATGATTTCAACTTTGAAAGTGCTTTCCTATCTGTTATCTCTTTTTTTCACATATGTTCCCAGTCTCCAGGTGGGAGAGGCCTTAAGAGGTTATGGGACTAGATAGATATCAGACAGTGGAACTAGATACCAGCTCCTCAACTTCTCCATCAGACTCCTTGCTTTGATTACCCTAGCAACTGATTTGAGGAAGGTTTTGAGTAGTAGGAGTTTGTCTCTGCGAGCAATCTTGGAAGGGAAGAATTTCAAAAAGTTGAAACAATAAGTAATTTGAATGAAATCTATTATGCACTAGGTTGAACCAGAAGAAATTGTCATGTTTGAAGGTCAAAACCAATTGATTATGAATTTCATATAGTTCCACCTAAAGTGTAATGCTATGTTTTTCTTCTTTTAATGGAATGTCATTATCAACTCCATTGTCAACATCAGTAGCCTTAAAGATAATATGATAATGATAGCTATCACTTATAGGATGCCTACTGTGTGCCAGGCATGAGCACTTTATGTACATTATCCCAATCTTTCTAACAACTCTGAGTTAGGTGACCTTACTCATTTAATAGATACCAGTTTAAAGTAGTCAAATGATTAGCCTGAAGGCACCTAACCATATGGGTGTCAGGCTTCAATGCCCGTGTTACATCTACTTCTTCACACAAAATAGTTCAGAACATAGAGAAGGACCAAGATTAATAAATAACTTTGATCTCAAATGCTAACCACAGTTGATTAGCTGAGTCTGTGTGGAGATGGAATCTAAGATGAAGGAGAATAGTGATTAATTAGTATTACCTGCCTGTGGAGGGGCTCAGTGACATATGCCTTGTGTATTGTCATCTGTGGCTTCAACTCTTCCCCCAACATCTTAAATTATCTTAACTAATTGAGAGACTTAAAATAATCCAACTCACTTAACAAAACCTGACATTCCATGGTGAAATTTAATCTAAGACTAGGTTGGAAATTGCCACATCTTGATACAAAGAAGAATTTGGCCACATTACTGGTCTTGGACTCAACTGCTTTTTATATGCTGCTGCTCTGTGACCACGTGTTGTTTTTTGCTAAGTTATCTGTTTCCATATCGCCATGTGAACCATGAGAAGACATGGGAGGAGGTGTTAAGAGGCCTCGACTTCTGGGCTTTCACCTCATTGATCTCTGCTCTTCAACCATTGTTTTAGATTTTGTACACTTGGTCCTTGCATCAGAACATGATTTGGAGATTAGGGTATGGGGTATCAAGTACTCTCTCAATGAGGGCCTAGTCTCAAAGGACTAATAGTCTTACCTGACAGGTGATGGGGCCAGGAACAAAGTTAGTGAGCAAACAGGTGGATAGCTGGAGCTATCCATCAGAGTATCCTAAGACTATTTATTTTAAGTTATTTAATTTATAACTGATGTCCTCTACTTGTATGTGGCAGCTGGAGATTTCTGTAAGACAGAATTAGCTTATTTATTTTTAATTTAAATATTTCATGATGAAGTGTTTACCTTGTATAAAACATTTTTATTGGCTAACTCAAATAAAAATAAAATATGCTTTGTTTGTGACATTAATAAACCACAAGAGTATACCTGAGACTCACGCATCAAAAATGGACAGAATTGTGCACCTGGACCTCATTGCTCCTTTACCTAAATGAAAAGGATCGTGAGAAAGAACTCAGGATGTTCCTTTCATCCCAAAGCAATATCTGGTCTTGATACTACAGGCCCTGCCTAGCAATCAACACCAGGGCCACTTCTGGTGGGACCTGGCCGTGTCTGACCTGTCCGTCTGACCTGTTCTCTCCGGGTTCACCCTCCTCCCTGCTGATGCTGACCCTCTGGTCCCTGCCACAAACCCCAGGGGGCCCAGCGGCCACTGCCAGCCTGCTGGCCTCTCACCCTGTGGTGGGGGGCGGTGCAGCTCTTTCCTCTGTGCTCATTTCATGGTCAGCCTCACTGGAGACTGCCCTCTGTGACTCATGTCACAGCCACTTGCAGAGAATGCCAGGGCCAGCTACAGAGGGCAATCCGGGAATGCCAGAGCGGGGAGTCTTCTAATGCCAGGGGCAACATGGTTTCCAGGACATTTAGGGTAATAAAATCAGTCGCCTGTGTCAGAACCAAGTCCAGTCAAATATTTCAGTTCTTCCCTGAGCGTTCTCTGTGGCAGTCCCCCTCCCCGCCGCCGCCCGCCCAGTACTTGGGTTGCCTTCAGAGCAGGCAGATGGGCAGTGGGTAGGAAAAGCAGCAGCAGCCAGAGCCCAACTTTAAAAGGAATCATGTGACACATTGACTCTAAATTGGCAGAGAACAGGGGACCAGCAAGGAAAAACAGAAGATGAATTGCCTGAGGATTAAAATTGCCTTTAGTTTTTAATTTCTTATAAGAATGTCAGTCTCTTTTGAGACTTTTTTTGTAAATGCATCGCCACAGGGCCCAGCGAGAGAGATCTCATTCTGCAGACAAGGCCACATGCCTAGTGGGGGGGGAAATGGAAAGGGACAATCACTTTGGACCTAGGACCAGACTCACACCTATTAATATCCTTTGTTGAGAAAGAGCATATAGGTTAATGAAAGGTATGTGCTGCCCAGGGAGTGGAAGCAGAGGAACGTAACGTGTGACACATCCGTTGACAGGGCAGCTGGCCTAGGCCAGCCCGGTCCCCAGCACCTGCTGGGGGCTGTGGAGGAGCCAGGTAGAGGGATTCTTACCTTCCCCCTCACTCCAGAAGACCTCGGAAGTCGCCGGCCCTGGACTGGCCCCTCAGAGCACAGGTTGCCGTTAGGCTAAACCCCCTTCCCTAGGGGGCAAGCAGCCAGGCCTTTGCCTGTTGGCTTAAGAGGGACTTGTGCTTTCCCGAGAAAGACAGGGAGTCTGGATCCTGCCCAGCCCCAAAGAGGAGACGTGTGCCTCTTCTGGAATTCTAGCCATGTGCTGACTGAAGTGTTGTACTCATCTGGGCCCCAGGCACTCTTTGGGGAGAGGGCCCACTTCAACCTCAACCAGCTTTTGCTCCCATCAGGCTCTGCAGAGCTCGGGATTCTGTCCATCCTGGCACTTGTCGGGGCAGGAGTATGAGGGGACATCAGGAGCTGGGAACCTTGATGAACAAGACATGAGTATTTTTAAAGTGCCGCAGCTGGTGCTGCAAGTGTAATCTCATTCTCTGGGTGACAACATTCAGATACAGAGCAAGAGGCAAACCAAACAATGGAAATGGTTTCTTTGTTTCTCTCAGGACTATTTCTGGCCATGGCAAAAGTGCAGGGAGGGCAGGCTTGCTCTTAGTTTCTCAGTGTCCTCCACCCTCACCCCCTGCCATCTTCCCAAGCACCGCCCATGCACACACACAGGTACACGCAAACGCACATACACTTATACACATATGCACATACATTCACACACCTGTCCTTTCTGTTCCTTTCTTCCTTGCCCCACACTCTGCTCCTGGACCTCTGGTGGCACCTGAGCCCTCCGGGTGTCCTCTGCCTGCCCAGGGCTCCCACCTCCTTTATCCCGCCCGTTGCCTCCCATCTCGGGTACCCCACACTCTGAATTTTCCCAACTGCTAGAAACACTCACTGGCTGTGAGGGCTTGAGAAGTGTTAAACATCGTGGAGACTGTTTCCTGAGTAGTTGGAAGGAAAATGGAATCTCTTCCTTCCCATGTTCTATAAAAGATTAAAGGAAATAATTGGTGTTAATATGTTACTGGCATGTACTGGTAGGCTGTGCATGTGAGAAAAGGTGGCATTGCTTCCACCCGGCTGGTCATGGCCGATGCGCAGAACTGCCCCTCGGCCCTGGTTGTCCAGCCCTTCCCTGGGACTCTCACAGGCGTCCCCACAGATCAGCAGCTGTGGGCAATGCCTGGCACTATGGAGGGGCAAGTGGGGGCTCCAGGACCAGCTCAGTCTTGTCACCAGTGTTTGTTTTCATTGGTTGTTTGTTGAAGCTACATCAGTTACTAAAAATGTGGACTTTCCTCCTGAAGACAATGTGTTTGAATGTGCCTGTCTTGTAAGTTGAGGCATAGACCACAGAACCATTAGGTGTACTGAGGTAGGGAGGGCAGCCGTTTGAACTGTTATCAGTCACTTATGCCCAAGAGTAGGGGATGAGCGAATGAAGAAGAGGTTTCCTTCGCCACAAGGAAACACCATGAAAGGAAGAGGTGAAATGCTGAGGGAAGGAAGTGTTAGAAAGACTCTAAATGGGGAAGCAAATTCTGGCTACCTTCTCTACTTTGTTTAGAGTCCTGCTTATCGCCCACCAGATTTTAAATTCCTTGGATTCAAAGTGCAATACTCCCCAGCAGCAAATGTCTTCCGCAAAGAAGAAAGGAAA